GCAAAGATAAAACACATGTATATATTTATGCGGCAAAAAACTGGCATAATTTGAGCGGATCGAGACTTTCGCAAAAAAAGGAAAAGAAAAGAAAAAAAGAAGAATTACACGAATGTTGTACAAGTGAAACTTCACGGAAAGACTTCCCCTTGATGAAGACCGGTTACGTACATGAGCGACTTCAATAAGTGACAACACTCTGCAGAAAAAGTCAAATATGGTCTTCAAAATATTACCACGAAATAACCCGCATGTTTGGCCCATTGCGCAATGTTAATGATTACGATCTTCTATCTCGCAAAATAATATTTGTAATGCAACAAAATAATATATCGCATATATGTATATTATTAAAAGACTTCATGCTTTTTTAATAATAAAGCGATACAATTTTGCTCTAACATAATCTTGTAAATTAATTGAAACTTGTATATTTCATTATAATTTACCAACTAAAGTAAAAAATAGTAGCTCGATATAAATATTATTATAATTGCTAGCGAATTAATACAGAAATACATATGTAAAATAATGAACATTAATAAAATTAATATTATCGTGAACAACTTTAACTTCTCGTGCACGGAGAGAATTTTTTCTTAGAATTTATCCTAAAAATCATAATAATCGTGGGACAATATAGTATTGAAAGAATTTTATAAGGGATAGTAAATTTTACTATGTAAGATATAAATATTTTTTATTGTACTAAATAAATATTAATGAGAGAAACTCTTATAAAATTCTTCCAATACCATCATATATTACCCTCCGATTGCCATGATTTTCAGGGTGAATTCTAAGAGAATTTCTCTGTGTGTGAGCAGTCGGACTCGATCTTGAGAGGTTCCACTTGCATCAAAATCTTACATAGCATTGCATTAATTTCTTCAGAAACTCTATTTGCATTTCAAATATTGGAAACTGCGGGGTAAAGGCTGCAAGTGTTTCCACGGCGGGAAAAAGATCGCGGTTCATTGACCCACGTGGCTACACGTGGAGTAGCATGTGCATTCGCAGCGCGCAAAAGATTTTGCATTATAGAGGAGAACGATCGTTAGCGACTATCGCCTCGACTCTGTTCGCGCGTTGGGAGCAAGGAACTGCTAATGCGATCACGGCAATCGTTAGAAATCTCTCACGTTTCTTGCGCCACGGCCGGCATTCGCCTGGCCTAATCGCTCGTTAGACAAGTCACGTGCCACGCTGTCACGCTGAATTCGCGCCCTGCACACAATGACTCTCCGACGAACCAAGAGAGTCCAATAAGACGACGTTTCTCCCAAGAGAGGCGATACGTTCATTTACATCTGTCTCGTTCTTTGCTGTTTCGTAGAATTATGTTCCTTATTCTAAGAAATTGCTCCATGACACAGTTGTGTGATAAAATCTTTTTATACTTTTTATAATCATCAAATTAGATTGCGCATGAAATATTTATCAACAGAAATTAAACGTGATTTATGTTAATATGCCTAGACGTGTTAAAATCTGAGACAGTATACGCGAGTAAGACGAGTTTCGAGAATTTTTAATGAGGAGACTATAAGAAGGCGAGATTTGAATATCTTCCTTTTTATCTTTGATTGTCGATTTAATAATGACACGAGCAATTTTTAGCAGAGCCCATTTCATTCTATATATGTATAACGGGGAGTTTGATTATTTAATGAACCATATTCATAATTTATGCTGATTAATATACGAGTATTATATAATCATGATACATTAATTGTGTCTCATGCATTTGCATTCGTAGACATCTCATCTAACACGCGATTTTTACTGGTTCTTTTCGTTCTATATGTTTGCAAATACTTTACAGTTTAATTTTGCAATCAACTATGTAAAAGTTATAAGATACTTTTTAAGGAGAAATTTAATTTTGAATGCAGACGCATCGAATATTAATGAAGTATCCTCAGTAGTGTAACAGACAAAATAGAAAGTATAATATAAAAAATAGTAAGCAATCCTAATAAAGGTAAAAATTCAAAAAATAATTTGCATTTTAATTACCGTTAGATCAATCACTGTCTATAAATGTTTATCACCGACAAGATAAATTAATAATTCAATCCGCGCCAAAGATCGTAATCTGATTTTTGTGGAAGATATTTTGCAAAATAAATTTCTGAATAAAAATAAGCTTAGAAGGCAAGGAGAGAGAAAATGAGTGAGATAAAATCGATGGACCGGTATCCGATAGGAGGATCTGCGACGAGAAATGATACAATTTGTTGAAACAAAGTGAAAAAAACAAACGAGAAGAAAAGCCATAAACCATCATTAGACGGTCGTAAACGCGAGTTCCCTGTAACGAACGTGGAAGAATCATTCTTGTTCGCTTGCGGTTCCAAGAAGTCCGGTTAGAATTTAGGCTACCCGAATCTGGAACGCCTCGGTCGTTGGCCTTGCCTTCGATTCCCTGCCTTCGAGATTTTCGGGCGCAACTCCGCGTATACACCGGCGTGCTTGTACATCCGTATGTTAAAACGGAGCTTTTATCTAACGAACGTCTAGACCGGTTCGAGCCGAATGTGCCGATGATCGCGAATCACGCGACGTCGCCGACAATTTTGTCCCGAACTCATCGAACGCACGGAAGGGAAAAGATGTGAGATCTAAACGGCGTCCACTCAAGAGGTGGTAAGTAGGTATAGGGAATGTTAATTATTTTGATAATTTGCGAAGTGCTTATTAGTCTCATTTTTACTTGCTTACTGCATCAAGTCCGTCAATATGCATACAGATTATAAGTATACTAAATAATGATAATAATAATAGACTTATATGTAAGGGGATTTTTAGATAAGGCAAAATAATGTGAAAACTATATGAGATATCTTCATTTTTACTTTTGTATTCAGTGAATTTCGTCTGTCATTCTGGGTCTTATTTGTCTAATTTAAAGATTACTTCAGTATTCCCAGAAACAAATGTTAAAAAGTTAAATATATAATTATTGCAAAAATTATTCACCTTGAAAATTTACGATTAATAGAAAAATATGATATATTCTCACCAAATCCTACAAACATCAAATAACTTTAAATTAGAATCAACTATTTATATATAGGAGAGAAGAATTGATTCATCCAGATCGTTTTTTTTGTTCGAAAATTTAATTCCCTATTAATCATCCATATACAAATTAATCAGCGGCTATCCCTGTATCTTGAATGTCATCAATTTTCCTCTCACAGTACGATGTGTCAATTCTAATTCTTGTTATTCGCACGTGTGATGAATGGTTATTGAAATGCATATATCGCAATCGTTATCAGCGTTTGTACATGGCGCGCGTTTGATGCGGCGAGCGAAGTACGGTCGCTACCGTTAATTTCGCGCGATTATAATTGCACGCCTTTTTCTCGCCTCGTACATGCGCCCGGGCCGGCGAGCGAAGACGGAGGCTGAGGACGAATCTCGCGGCGGAGGACGGAGGAGGTCCGGAGGGAAAGGCACGAAACGCGCGATTCGAAGATAATGTACCGATGTACTGAATTACGCGGCCGGCTACTGAATAATTTTGACCCACATCCATGAATCGCCTCGAGGCGACGGAATGCCGGAGATCCGATCAGGCGCCTCCTTCTCGGCGCTCCTTTATCGAATCTACCGTGTTGCTCATTTTCAGAACAGCGATAAATAATGCGCCGTGAAAGATGGAAAAAAGAGCCATGTCAGATTTTTTGTAACTGGTCGGGAACGAGGGATATTCTGTGATAGATGTATAATATAAAGAGTAAAAGTCTTTATATGTAGAAGACACATGCAAAACGCAACTATACATGAAAGGTCAAGAATATTTGTCAAATTCATTTCAAATTTCTCAATATGTTTGAAAGTACCCCGCACCGCAATATCTTATATGTAAAATGAATTTCGGTTAAATCAGCTGGTTTTTTCATATGTTGTTGCTTATAAACCTGCTAAACAAAAGATGTAATAACTGCAAAGATAAATAATGGACATTTATTGAATTACAACCAGTCAAACAACTTGCAAACCCGAATTTTTCGTGTTTGGTTGTAAATCAGTAATTATGTATTATTTAGCTTTGAGTCTATTACATTTTTTTGTTCAATAGATCAGGAACTATAACATATGAGAAAACCAGCAGATTTTACTAAGATTTGATTTTATATAGGATTTAGTGCGGGGTTTTTAATTTATATAAAATCCTAGTTAAAATAAAATTTCGATAATTTTCTTATGTCTAAATATAGACATATGTATGTCTAAAGAAGAGATTTTAATTGTCAATTAAAAAAAATAAAAGATTATATAGTTTAGTAAATTAAGCACGGAATGTATTTTGTACATTTTCCAGCGCAATTTTTATATTGCAAACAAATTTTAATTTAAGATATTGTTCTTATCAAAATATCTAATTTAAAAATTATTGTCTAATTAAATAATTATTGCAAGAAAAATATTTTAACATTTTATCATATATACTGAGATAAAACACGGCAAGACTTAATTTGTATTTATTTCATGTAACTTCCTTTATGCAAATGTATCGTCTTGTATGTACATCACAATAACGTGCGGTGATAATTCTACTGGAAACTTGTCACCGGAACACATTTTCTGGGCGCTATTAGGTTGCAGAAAGATAAATTGCACGATTTGTATTCAGGCTGTGTCCGCGATTATAATTTTCGACCTAAATAGTTTTCAAACTGAGAGAACTTGAGTGAAATATAACGATAATTGATATTACTAATTAGTCCCCAAGGGAACATTAATTTGGTGTAAAGCAAACTAACCGAAAGAAGTATCGACGAAAAGATGTCGTATTTCAGAGGACATTTACTAAACATTCTTTTACTTCGCACAATCTTTTATTTCCACCGAATAAAGAAACTATTTGCATATCTAGTATCTAAAAAGTTTTGTTAGTGTGAGTGTACGTTATGGTGGATAAGGGTCATTATATAAAGAAAGGAACGATTCATTCTAATGTTAGACTAAGTGGTGCTCTTCTTCAGGAAAAAATAGAATAATGGTCCTAATACGAATAATTTTATCATTCGTAGCAATCGGTACCGGTTCAGGATTGCCAGCTAATTGTAAGAGTCATTGTGAATCTCATGATCGCTCTATACCACCTAAACCACGATTCGATGGAGTTTTCGACAATGATTACAATCACGAGAAAATTGGTAATTAAATCTTTAATTATATTTTTAATTTCACGACAAATTTATAAATATATAAAGTTTGAAATAAAAATAAATTTTGTTTTGATTGTTTAATTGTTGCATGTATAAATAGTATTTTGTTTTTAAAGCTTTTTATATTTATGTTTTCTCGCCTAGCCAATAATATAAAATATTGGAGCCCGAATGATCTACAAAATGTTTGGGAACTGAGTGGTTTATACGAGGGTGATATAATGCTTCATCCGGATAGTCCATCAGGGAAAAATGGCCTTTTAGACGCTACAGCACGATGGCCCGGCGGTGTTGTGCCTTTCTTTATACAGGAAGATGATTTTGGTAATGTTATATATTTTTTTTAGAAAAATTTCAATATATTAACAAGTAAAACATATTGCACGAGAAAAAATTACTATACCTAAATTTTCTATATAACTGTTTCTATATTACACATAAAATTCAGTTATCATGCCTAAATTTTAGCTACGATAACTAATATTTTTTAAAGAATTCTCTGTTAAACTATAGCTAAAAAATATTAGTTACTATACTTAGCTAAAATTTTAGGTATTCTAACTAAATTTCAGGTTGTAATATGTATATATAGGGACAGCTAAAATTTAGTTATGGTAGTTAATTTTTTTTGTGACAAATAAATGTATTTAATTAATTATAGATATGCTATATATATATATGTATATTATATATATAATTATTTATATATTATATTTCTGTTTATGATCAATTTCGCTGAAAATTGTTTAAGCTCGGATTGAAAATTAAAAGTAAATATCGCTTAATATAGCTTGAGGAATCTAAATCGTCATTTTATATATACTTATAAAAATGCATTTTATATGTAAAAACTCATTACTAAACTCATAGATCGAGATCAAATTGAACTGATCAAAGAAGCTATGAAAGAGTATCACGAAAAAACTTGCTTACGTTTTCGACCTTACAAGGATACTGACGAGGATTATGTGTCGATACAAGCGAAAAAGTCAGGATGCTGGTCCCTGGTAGGTCGTCACGGTCAGGGACAGGTGTTGAATCTACAAAATCCAGGATGCGTTCATCACGGTGTTGTGGTGCACGAGCTCATGCATGCCTTAGGCTTTTATCATCAGCAGAGTGCCGCGGACCGAGACGAGTGGGTCACCATACATTGGGAGAATATCAAATTGGGTATCTCAATACCATTAATATTATTAAAATATTTCATCTTTATAGTTATGTATAAAAAAATGTACGTTTTTCTAATAATTTTTTTATACTGAAAGACTTGAATACATAATATATATTATTTATTCAATTTATTTATATATCAAAATGAAAATAGTAACATATATTCTATGATATTCTTAAGGTGGGTAGTCTCGTGTAACGTACGAACCGAATTTTAATGAAAATTATACCTTGCAGGTAAAGAGCATAATTTCAACAAGTATGACAATCGCACTGTTACTGATTATGGCATAAGCTATGATTACAAGAGTGTCATGCACTACAGTTCTCATGCTTTCTCTAGAAATGGAGAACCTACTATTACGCCCAAGGTAATAATTCGTGGCACACTCGCAATATTCCTATTGATTTTAATTTCCTCTCAATATTGTTTCGCAGAAACAAAAGGTAAAACTTGGTCAGCGAGATGGACTCAGTGAAAAGGATGTAGCCAAAGTGCGAGCAATGTATAAGGAACAATGTGGCGATCGTAAATCAGAAGAAAATGACGAAGATTCTTCTGAAGAGATTCCTCTAGAATGGATATTCGATTAAATTTATATTCAAAAAATCATAAATTCTCTAGAATATATAATATTAAAATATCGATAAAACAAAATATATAAATATATTTTTATCTTTAGGTTACAACATATGTTTATTATGTAGTGAAAATTTATAAAAATATCAAATATATTTTATTCCTGAAGTATAACTAAAGAATAAGTGAAATATAAAATTTGTTTATAAACAAAATATATATTTAATGTTGAAATATTATAAGGCTTATACATATATTAGACAATAGCATTAAAATTGATTCCTCTAAAAATAGTCTTTTTATTTTATCTTAAGGCACTTAATGGGCAGGATTTTTTTGATTGTAATATGTTAGTTGTTTCAGTTCATTTACAGCATCCTCTGCGGCCTGGAATAAAATTTGTGATATATTATATAAAATCCAAATTTGAAAGAATACAATGCATTAATAATTTACTTACATGTCGTACTTGTTCATCCTCATCCTCGATTAAACCCTCAATAAGATTTTTTAATGATTTATCCCAGACTTGTTGTAGTGCTCGACAGCAAAATCTACCTAAAAATCTGATCATAATACATGTTCTCGCTCGCAAAACAGCTTGTCGATGATTGAGAAGTTTGTTGAGCTGCTCCACCAAAACACCTTCATTAGAAAAAAAATCATTTGATCTGTATAATTTACAAAATGATAATATATTGTAGAAAAACATAATCTACACGTAGCTCACCAGAAGGTTTCGCACGCAGTACAACTCGTTCTACAAGTTCAGCATTTTCCGGTTGAGAACGTAAAACATTATTTAAAATCGCAACGAGATCTGCAACAACTCTTGCCTTCCTTTTCTCCAAAGCTAGCAATTGTTGTAAAAGTGGCATTCCATTCACAATGTAAATAGCATCACAAAACTGCATAAGGAATTGATCCTCGATGTAGACTAATCTACAAAGGACCAGCATCGCACATTCAAGAGCTTCAAGTTCATCCGCGGATAAAGAAGACGCCGATCTCGTTCCCGTGTTCGTTAAATCTGCCGTGTTCGATTCGCTGTCGGAACGTTCTGACATTAACAGCTTTATAGCATAAACGAGATTTGGTACCACTCTTACATCTAAATAGACCCGTTCGATCTTCTTCAAATTATCCTTGCTGATTGACACGGTAAATGGCAAAGATAATAAACAAGCAACATATTCAATGACTCGACAACCGGCTGCTGGATTTCTCAGAGGAGAAACGAACACTGAAACGCAATTTTGTTGCAACAATGAGTCGATCTCGCCCTCCATAACTTCTTCCATTGATCTTTGTAAAAATGCAACCCACTCTTCGTTTTCGATAGGTCTTTCTACTGTCCTTAGATCCCAATCCGGCCATCTTGTATATCTTTCAGTCAATTTTTTTTTACCAAATTCTTGCTCGTAATCAATGCTTAAACAACTCTGTTTGCAATCACCATCACCATGAACAATTTGATTCACTTGTGAAGATTTTTCAATTTGTTGGCCTACATTGACTCCATCACCTTGTGCATTAGTGTGATGCAATTCTCTATTCAACTGTCGTACGGAATGGTTGTCATCCGTTTGCGTTTGAACAGGGTTTGAGTGATCCTCTATTGGGAAGTTGTGATGTACATTTACATTATGCGGACAATCATTCTGACATATAGCGTGATCTGCAGCTAACAAATCGCTTCTCAGAGATGCCCTAAGACTAAGATTTCCCAAGAGTACGTCAATGCTGGCACTGGAGTCAGTGCCGCTTGGTTCGCTACGACGTAATGCTTGACAGTGTGTTATCCCATGGTGACAATAAGCAAAGGATATTGGATAACCTGGTTGTGAAAAACATGTCCGTTGATAATATTTCCTTTCAGCTTCTCTTTTCTGAATTGCTTTCTTCGCAACCCTAAAAGTATGATTAAATAAAATATATATATTATAGACATAGTTCCATTTAAACAAATATAAAAAATAACATACTTGGTTTGTTTTACAGCATGTATTGCCAAATTTTGTAATTGCTGCTGTTTTGCTATCTCTTGGCTTGTAGATAGCGGAGTTGTGAATGGAGTAGATGCAGAGCCTTCTACTATTATAATTCGATCTTTGACAAATGGGTGTTCAAGAAGAGCAGGCCAAGTTAATCGTTCAGATGGAGCCTTTTGAAGTAAACCCTAAAATTGTGAAATTATAATGAAAGTTACATTACATATTTATATATACATAATTTAAAATAAATATTCATACTTGTAAGAAGCTTTTGCAATTTGGGGAAATAAAATCTGGCCACTGTATTGCTTGATATCTGATCAACTTTATCAAATGCAGTATTGAAGTGGTTTGAAAAGGAGGAGAACCCTCTAATAATTCAAAAATTATACAACCTAAAGACCTAAAAATTATACAATTACATGTTATATAAATTGTATCCAATAGATATATAATAGGTATAGCTATATAATTTACCATAAGTCAGCATTATGATCATAAGGATGTTCCTCTATAAGTTCTGGTGCCATGTATAATGGTGTTCCTTTGATGGAAGTAAGTACATGTGTACCGGTGCTCATGCTACGAGCGAATCCAAAATCACATAGCTTAGCCACACCGTTTGCTTCCAAGAGAACATTTTGAGGCTTGAGATCTCTAATAATAATAGTAACATAATTGCTATATCATTGCATATATTATTACATGTTGTTCCCATCTATAATTAAAAACAAACCTATGTACCACTCGATTTGAATGCAGATAATAAAGCGCAGATACCAAGTCACAAGCTATTACTTGTGTTCTTTCCTCAGACAATCTGCCTTTCTTGTCCAATATGTCATAGAGTTCCTTATCTGCGTATTCTGTGACAACCACGATCTAGATCAGATATTCCACAAAATATCTAGAAATATGTTTTATTTATAACTTAATTTCAATCTGACATACCTCATTCTCTGTTTCAAATGAATCTATCATTTGTACAATATTGGGGTGATGCAAATTACGTTGAATCTCACACTCTTGACGTAAACTCTTAAGTTCTTTGAATGTTCTGCCACACTATGAGTAAGTATAATAATAAGTGTATTAGTCATAAAACACACGAGTTATTTATATCTTTCTTGGTTCTAACGCAGATTCAACATACCTTTTTTATCATTTTAAACGCCACGATTTCACCATCCGAACGCTTTTTAGCTTTATACACTTGTCCAAAGGACCCTTCTCCAATCTGCTTTAAAATCTCATATTTTCCTATTTTGAAATTTTCGTATTTCTTCATCTTGACAGCTTTTCAAATCAAATGTAAAAAGTATACACTCTTTTTATATCAAGTACAATGTACGTATGCAACAAAATAAAAGCCGCTTGACACGTTGAGATATATTAAATGTAAACAATTAAATACGCGAAAACATCAGCTACAGATTAAATGTAGCAATTAACTTTTTATAATTGAGCTTTCTTTAAATGTGAGAAACTTTCTTACACGACAGAGTAATAAGTTTCTTTTCTTTTTTTCTTAAGAAATTCTCTCAATTCGAAAATGTTTTTATTCGGTATATATAAAATTAGATTTTTTTACTTTTAATATTTGTTCACATTATTTGCTCACACATTTTTATAATAAATAAACTAATAATCCTAAGCACGTGTCTTGATTAGTAAGCTTGAAAACAAAACGATTGTATTATTGTTATGATCGCTCACTAATGCCCACACAATACCACAGATTAATAGACAGATCGCCAAAGGCCTGCCTAAAGAAGAGACTGCCATCTTCGTGCGATAGACTTTGCACCCTTACCGACACACTTTGCCCCTGGTTCGAGTCCGTGCTAAATTTCGCAGACATTACCAACAGACTTTGCCCCTGGAGCGAATGCAGGCTAATTGATCATGAAACCAATTTGAGAGATTTGGCCCCCGTTATGTGTGTGTGTGTGTGTGTTTGTAATTTTTGAACACTTTTATATTATTAAAAATATATAATTCGACTCCCGAAATATATTAATTCATTATAAAACGTATACGTAATAGTATTTTTCTCATATAAAATGATTAGAATAAATTAAATTAATTATTAAAAAACTAAAACTTAATTAAACGACTTAGACTTAGATGATAATAATAATGAAACATTTATTTAAAAAAGATTTAATAACTATAATAGGTCAGGTTAATTTTTTATTTATTTATTTATTTATAACATTATAAAATTCTGTCCTTTCCGAAATACGCGAACGCTACGAAAAGATAAAATCTCGTATATGCCGCCAGACGAGTTCATGAGCATGAGACGCTTTTATCTTATCGTTAGGCACGTATTAATAGTTACTGCATTGACCACTACTACGATATGGCGCTGAAATCAGTGAGAAATGCCGGTCTCTCCTTCATCCAGACTTTTGGCGATCTATCTATTAATCTGTGACAATACTGTGGTGAGAACAAGAAGAAGTAAACTAAATCATGGTTGGTAACTGAAGAAACCTCCGATGATAATAAAGAAAATTATATTTATAATATACGAATAATAATGATAAGTTATAAAAAATTAAATAATTAATTATAAATAATAAATGAACTCTATTTACCATCTACAATTAGAGATAAGCAAAATAAATGTTAAAAATAAATATTAATAATTAGATAATAATTGCTATATATTATGCATGTATTTTATTAAATGTATATTTATGTCCAGATCTTTCTTCACTTACAATTATTAATAAAATTAAATTATTAACAAAAAACCGCGCAAAAATTAATTATATATTAGACATATACTCTGTCATAAATCTTATGCGTAAATTGGGTGCCAGAGAAGTATATATAATTCGTCCGATAAGATATATTTAATTGCTTTTGTGAATAACAATTTCTATCACTACTACATATTTTCAATATACACCAAAATATTAATTATACGGTGTTAGATGTTTGTCGAAAGTAATAAGTAGAATTTGATAGATTTATAAACAGAGACAGAGAGTATACTTGATAGAATATAATATAACGCTTTTGTTCATGCACAGTGTTGTTATAACTTTTCCGTACGATAAGCATGCTTATGTTTGTAAAAAAATAAATTTGCTATGAAATATATAATCTGTTTCACTGCAGTGGATTTTAATACATAACGCGCGTAGCAGGCGATAGACGTTCAACCGCGACCGACATTGCGGACGGTCACCAGCTTTTCGTCAGCACACATTCTCCAGAAGGTATACAAAATTGCATTACGTTAATAATAGTATTTTATGCAGTCTCGTGTCTGATAAAAAAAAATAAATGCCTATACAGAGTCTATTTCGCGGAATATCGAGCGCCTCTATAAATAAAGCGCCAACAGAAGCAAATTTTTAAAGCGCCTATACAGGCTCGAACAACAATAAGAATTTTAATCATTTTTAATAAATAATTAATGGACATACACACACAAAATATTACTTTTGTAAGATTTGAAACATTATCTTTTATAAACACAAATTTTATTCAAATTATATATGCATGTATAGGTCCGAGAAAGATGCAGAAAACTCGATATGCCTTGTTTTCTTTGACATTGGTAGTTTTATTAGACAACTTGCTGATTAAGGATATTAATGCACGTAAAGATAATAAGATGATAAAGGTTTCCAATGATACTAAGATTTGTACAGAGCCATTACAAACAAGGAGGACTTCAGCTGGAAGACTCATCACTTATAGACGTAAGTGAAGAATTATGAGTCCATTCATTAATTAGATCCAAATATGATGTACAACGATTTAAAAGATATGACAAAATCTACAAAAACACTACAATATCTCATGATAATAATTTATTGTTTAAACAGTTAATAAGTGGTCTCAGTACGAGAATCCTGAAGAAATTGCACATAAACGAGAAGGAGATATAAATGAAGTGTCGTCGAGAAAAACTCTTACGAGGGATGTAGATTTGTTATGGCCCAACGGTGTCGTCAGGTACTTTATTAATGACGAAATAGGTAAAACATTTTTATGAAAATTTTAAATTGTATGGAAATTAATATTTCAGAATAAATAATACATAAGCGTTTTTATATTACATTATCTGTTTCAGTTAATCGATCGAAGGAACTATTTGTACTGATGAGGGCATTGAGAATTATAGCGCAGAACACTTGTATTAAATTCGACCGCATTCTATTTCATCCGAAAAGAATGCTGAATAATTGGATCAACATTACGGGTACTTATCAGGGTTGTTACTGCGATATAGGACGTAGACCCGTTGGACCTACACACATGAACTTAAACGTGTACCAGTGTTTCGCCAATGTTGGACACGCAATACACGAGATGATGCATGCCCTAGGTGTATTTCACGAACACGTGAGACCAGATCGAGACAATTACGTCACTATAATATGGGAAAATATAAAAAAGAGTAATTAATATAAAATTTAATAGCGACTCCCTCTTAACATGCAATTAACATTGAATTGAAAATAGGATTAACAAGAGTCTGTTTCCAGATCATAAATACAATTTTGATATTACGACTGAAGATGACGTAACTACTTATGAATTCCCGTACGATTATGAGAGTGTAATGCATTACTCGATGACTGCATTCTCTATAGGTAGAGGTCTTCCGACAATAATACCTAAGGTAATTATGCGACAAATTTTTATAAATATTTTTAAGATATTTTAAAGATAAAATTGTTAATATTTATAGTAATGTCTAATTTGTTGCATCAAGTAATATAATATTGTCGATTCAAGATTTTTAATTGAATAATAAAATTTTATTTTTCATAGGATTCTAGTGTGGTGATTGGTCAAAGAGATCACATGTCATATTACGATATACAGAAATTGTTAATTGCTTATAATTGCAATGCCAACTCTAGAATGTATAATAATACACAACTTACAAGAAGAAATTTATCTAAAAATTCATCTAAAACCGCAATCACAAAATAATAAACTTGTGTTTAAAAACAGAAATAAAAATGCAAGTGCCAATTGCTAGTATACATAATTCAAAAACACACGAAGAAAAAAATATGTCTCAAGATCAATCAATAGATTTAAGTAATTTCGAATAATTTTTCCTAGATTCTGTACACTGTATTCAACCTAATAATTATCTTATATGCCTGAATCCAATATATTTAAATCCTGTATAAATTTCTATTTTCATATAAAATACAAAAATATTTGGTAAAATAAACTAAACGTAATTTTTAAGTATAATTATAATTAAAAAACATATTTGATCGACAATGACGGAGAATGATATTTCATTAAATAAATAATATTCGTGCTAGATTTATTTCAAAATTATTATATAACTTATATGACATACGCCGCTACGTTGATTGGCATACATGAAATTTTTTAAATCTATATTTTCATTCTTAAAATGTACTTATTAATAATCTTTATGTTTCTTTTTTCTTTTATGCTCACTATGTTTTGAATGTCTTTCCAATGATTTGTCACGATCAGATTTATGTTTCTTTTGATGTCTATCTGTATGTCTGTCTCTGTTTCGATGTTTATCTTTTTTATGTGATTTTCGATCCTTCGAGTGGGATGATTTTATATGTTCAGTATGTCTATGTTTTCTATGTGTTTCATCTGAATATTTTTCATGCCGATCTCGGTCTCTTTCTCTTGATGGATGATAATTCTTTTCCTCTGAATGCTCTCTTTTTAAATAATTTCTTTTGCTACTGTAATGATCGTTTCTATCTCTGGAATGCAAATCATCAAAATTTCGCGAGGAAGTGTGAAAAGCCTTATATAAACGTTCGGTTCTGTCTTGCATCATTTCGTGATTTGAATCGTCTGATTCAGTAGGTTGAACATGATCTGAATTCTTTTTCTCACACATGTAATCTATATATATCTCCATTTGTTGATTAATCACTTCTCTGAGTATTTCAATATGAGATTTCTTATTTGTATGAACACCTCTATGTTTTGCTCTACGTCTTTTCAAATTGCGTTCTTGTACCAACAAATCCAGAAAAGATAACTCCTTATCTTTCTTTTCTTGTTTTCTGAAATAATTTTGAGAAATATAAAAATAAATACAAATTAAATATAAATATATATGTAAAACTTATAAATATTATTAAACTTACAAATTGACTGCAATATCCTGTCCAATGTCTGGTTTGGCAGTATTAGAGATGACATAATCATATAGTGCTTTTCTCTCATCGCTGGTGAAATCTGTGAGAAGCCTGTCAGATGTACGTGGTATTAACCGCTCACCTATACCTATTATCAAGTGTCAAGAATTCATATTTTTCGAAATAACAATTATAGTACAATAAAAACATAACTGCTTTCTTGCAATTAAAAAATATAGCTGCAGTTCTTATCAATTGTATTACTATATAGGAAAATGACACAACTATTTTAAATTGTAAGTATTACAATATATCCATTTAAATTGTTTTTGTAAGACTAAATATTGAGTAAAGGATATATAAAAGGATATATTGATTCCACACCAAGTATAACACTCATAACTTGCTGCAAAAAATTCCATTATCATTTGAAATTTATAAAAATACATATACTTTCTATGTTTTTACTAACCAGTTTGCATTGCTGGATTTTGTTCTTTAGCTTTCCTTAGAATTTCATCTTGCAATTGTTCATCTACAAGAAAAATTTCATGTGTATAGTATAAGATATTATTTCTAAAAGAAAAAGCATTCACTTCTCTGAAATTTACTTACCAAATTTTATACTGAATGGTGAATCTATTGATAAAGTTGGTTCAGATAATGGGACGTCCAATTTTCCATAACCTTCAGCTTTCCATTGACAAGAGATAAGATGATTATTGAGAGATCCTTCTGTTAATTGATGGGATGAATCATATGGACATATGAAATGTTCTGTGTCCTATGTAAATAAGTCATAGTTAAATAATAATATAACAATAGTATAATAATTAAATAATAGTTTTTTAATTTAAAATCATACTTACAATATTTTCCATTGTGCTCTCCATTGTCCAGCCTAAGGTTTCGACAATATTGGCAATTTCTTTGTTAACTGCATCAGTGAAATTCTTTAGCTCTTCTAATTGTTGTTTACGGGAATCACTTATATTTGTTGACATATTAATCTTTTGATTGAGTATTTTGCACAAAAAATTAAATTAAAATAAAATACTTAAAATTTTCTCATTAAATACGATGCGTTTGTCGATTTTGTTGAATTTGTGTTAACTTTGACCTCAAATTTTATATTCAGAAATAGTCAAAGTAAATCGTACGATGTCAAAGTAAATCAGATTATGTTAGGTTATGGTTACTGTTGTAATATATTTACATAAATGCGTTCTGAAATTGTACAGAGGATGACATCTGTTGGTGATGTTACGAGAACTTTTTCGGTCGGTACTCTAGAATTGGATCAATATTTATTCTGGACATCCAGAATAACATTACTAATTTTTTTGTAATTACAAAAAATGTATATTTAATTTTAATAATTATAAATTAAAAATTATAATTAATAATTATACATTATAAATTAAGTATTATAAAAAATTAATAAATTATATATATATATATATATATATAATTTTATTGATTATAAAACTTATATGCGTATATATATGCTTCAAATATATACATATCAAGCATATATATTATTTATACACCAGTACACGTACTCATTTATTATAGAAATATCAGATAACTATATTTCCTATATGGGGGCCAAATAATTAAACAAACGGTTATTCAGTGTAGTATATAAATAAATTAGTAAACGCAGACGAAACATTAAATTCTTGAATGCGCATATCATATATATAGATAAAATATAAATTCAATATTTAATTATATATATTTTCTCTATAATATGTATACTATTTAATTAATAGATATCATATATAGTATATACATATATGTATATACACAGAGAAAAGGGGAGAGGAAAGACAATAAGATATTTGAAGATTTTTCTATTCTTTTATTAAATAAAAAAACATCAGTTGCGCATGATTTATGAAAGATATAAGGAAATTTATATTTTTTTTTCTTTTTCACAAGATTTTTAGAAACGAATATATATGCATATACAATTATCGATAATATATGTTGAATCTCTATATGTAGTCGAAATATATAATTAAGTATAATCGATTCAAATTAATGAACATCTGTTTTTCGTTCATCTCTTTTGACTTGTGCAAAGATTATATGATTCGATGCAATCATAGCAAAATATTTTTGTGTCTCTCTCTTTTAAATATAAATTTGCAAATATTTGTTTTATTTTGAGATGACTATTATCTTATATTTTTTAATAATATATTATTTCTTATTCGTCTTTTATGCACATATACAGCACATTAGTGGCTACAATTTTAAATGTTAATTTCTTCATAAATGTTTTAATATTCTTTCGCATATCAGGTAATAAGAATCGCTATAACGGATACAAATAAATGAAATTACAGCAGCTTCAACGTAACTATATCTGCTATTTCTTTCACCTGTGTAACGATCTTTTCGGAATGTCCAAAAGAAGGTTGTTTGCATCCCAACAAATGGCATAGCAAAAAAAAATCAACGCAAAAACGGAGAAACGTTGAGCGAATAGCGTGCAAAAAAAACATTGCAATTCCCACGAATTCACGCTGCTTCGAGTCAATAGCGGCGGCTTTAATTAAAGTGAAATTATGCAAAGAAACGTATCTGCAAACGAATACTGTCAGTTCGAACGCATATTATCGAAAGAACCGGATTTCAATTTTAACGTAGCCTCTCCTGGAAAAGAGCGTTCATTAAAATCGTCTTCATGAAAGCATAGCCCTCTTTGAATTTATTTTTTTGACGAATTTGATGAGTCGAATAAACATTATTTGATACATATTTATATGACGGTGAATTAATTAACTCATTAGCAAAACTGTAGTCTAAAGTTATTATTCGCCTGACGAAACTTATATCTCTTTGAGAAAATCGATCAGGAAAAACCATCAGTTATTGACACATTAATTAGGTAGGAGCCGCGGTCGTTAAAGTCACAACAATTTTCGCGGCGATAAATCGAGCGCGGCCGCGAGTATTCCCGACTTCTCTTCGAACAGAAGAAAAGAAGAATCACTAGCTGCCGTGAATCAAAACGACAGCTACAAAAGGCAAGACAAAGTGCCTTTTCGCCGTGAGAGAACCAAATTCGCGTGCGAATCGCGCGGATGTTTCCGTCGGCGTCTCCGATGAGAGGGCAGAGGGGAAAGGGATGAGAGTAAAAGGAGGACAGAGCGAGTCGCGGAAGAGAGTCGTGGGTCGCGGGCATACGAGAGAAAGAGAGAGAGAGAGAGAGAGAGAGAGAGAGAGAGAGAGAGAGAGAGAGAGAGAGAGACGAGAGAGCGAAATGGCTCTCGACTGCCGCTACCAGACAAAGAAGCCCGTCAAGCACGATGATGGACGCCTTCATGAACGACCCTACGGAGCCCCGTACATCACTTTTATTACCGCCGTCCTCATTTTCATATTTCATATTTACATTTCTAGACCGCCGTAAATCAGCGAATTTATGGGTAATTAGGCCTTTGTGCCGTGTGGACCCACACCGCGCCGAGGCGAGGGCTTATCGAACGATACGGAGAGCCGCCGCGCTGGCTTAAACCGCGTAGAGAGAGGGTGGACTTTTCCCTTTCGCATTCCCTCGGCATCGCCGACAGTGCGATTCACCGCGTCGTCGTCCTTTACTTTTACTCCGCGGAGAAACGAACAGAATGACTTTTCCCGACGAATTCTCGCCTTCCTCTCGACGAGAGGGATTCCAAACTTCGTACAAGGCGAAAAGGAGAGGTTGCGAAGTTTCCGCGAGTAATAAAAATCTAAGGCAGATTGGAAGGATTGTTCAATTTTATTTACCGCGATGTCCGCCGCAGAACGTGTTAAAACTTTTACACTCTCTTCGTTAAGGTGTGCCTTGTAGTTACCTATCGCGTGATGCACTTTCAAGATTTGCTCGCGGCGAATTCTTCCAAGCGTGAGATTGATTGTGCGTAAAGAAGCGCTTCCTTGCGCTTCATTTAGCGAATTAATGAGAGAAAAAAACTGAAAGCAACGTTTAAGCAAATAAGAAATCTGCATATGATTTAACTCGACGCAAAAGTAACTTTGAACAATTTTCACTTTATACACGGATCCTTTTTCTCTCCGAGACTGTTAAATGATTGATTATTTTGGAACTATTAACTATTGTTAAAAACATTTATTAAAAAAATTTAACAATATTTAAAAAAACACATATAGACGCGCTTCGGAGATTATTCAGTTTGAATTATTGTTCATCTCTTTCAAGTTCTATTTTCTCTCGATTTTCGGAAAGTTATTCTATTATTCTTATAGTATTAAATATTTGCCATAATAAGATATAAATACGTTTGATTAATTTTTTATTGCGATAAATATTAATCAGAAAAACTTTTATAAAATTATACAAATTTATTGAAATTTCGACCTAACTGGCCAGTACAATTTAATTAGAAACACTATGTTTCAACCCTTAGGTACGGGTCCTTTTCAAGTGTAACTTTCAAGATGTTGATTCGACAGCAATAAAATTACTAATGTTAAACCGGAGAAGACAAGTAAATCAATTTAAGTCAAACGTTAAAAACACAAAGGGTTGAAACGTGGTGTTTCTAATTAAATTGTACTGGCCAGTTAGGTCGAAATTTCAATAAATTTGTATGGTTTTACTCATCACTGGCGACTTCATTAATTTTATCGTTATTTTATAAAATTTTCCCAATACCATATACTTGTCCTACGATTACCATGATTTTCAGGGTAAATTCTAAGAGAAAATTCTCTCCGTTTATAATATTCTATATATATATATATATATGTTGCTTTGTATTAATACACGATCGTGATTGAAGGATTAATTTTCGCGGGTCAAAGTTATCTCGCATATTTGCAGCGGCAGACCGGATCTTATGACGGCTTCACGGAAGGCATCGGAAGTTCATGTCGATGAACGAGAGCTATTTCGAGTTCCTCAGCGTTGTTCGAGAAGAAGGCATTGACGTTGTTAGCAACGAGCTATGAGCCGTTGAGCGTATTACGGCCTCATAAAGGTCTCCGTTAATATTTAATAGTGCGTTTTAATGGTGCACGCAGGTGCGAGTACATCGTGTCATCTACTTTCCGCCCTTCGCGTGCATCCTAAGTATCTGTTAATGACGGCTTACAACGAAATGGCCAAGTTCCCTCTCCTTCGGATGTTCTTTCTCGCTACATTGATGCAGAAGTTTGCCTTCGCGATTCGGTTGTTGTAGCATTACGATCCTTCTTAAATTATGATTTTATGGTTTTGACGAGAATCGTGTCGTGGCGGAAATGGCGGTTTCACTCTCCCTCTCACTATTACTCTCTCAACCCTCTTACATTTAATCTACTTTACTTATACTTATCTACTTTTATTATTTAATGAGCAGCGCTAAATGTTCTATATTTAAAATGATAGTGAGAGCATAGTCAAATTTCAAGATTAATTATTAAACATTCAAATAATATTACTCAAAGTTGAAAGACAGGGACCGGATTTTTAGAAAATCTTATCAATTTCTGTTTAATAAAAAATAAGCCCGATTAATCAAAGTTTGCGCTATATTTAAGATTGATATACGTTTCAATTAAAAATGAAAATATTAATCGCGTCAAGACGTTGATTTTTATTATGTAATATTTATTTGTAGCTTTATTTATAAATTGCACATCAAATCTTCATAACATATATTTATATATTAAATCCAACAATGCGTTCAATTGTGCCAGGTATTGATCAATATTGATATCTGTATGTAACGATACATTAGTATCAGAACATCCGCATTTATCGCATGCAAATTATTTGATTCGTATTGCAATATTCGGCAAACCGTCTCTAAACATTTGTTGAATGTTTATCTGGTGCATTAGCAGCTTACAGTGCATATCTAAATGCAACCATTCGCCCAGTACTTGTCAAGCCGAGATAGGTAATGCATTGTATAGATCATGTGACGCGTATGACAATGTAATAATTCATATCAACGTGATAATTCCACAATTGAATGTGACAAAAACAAAATTTATTAAATAAATATGAAGCATTTGTATATTCGTTCTCTATATTTTTAATAAATAAATACGTTTGCAATTGCGTTTGGAATCAACAAAACCCTTCGAGGCACAACAACAACTTTACATAGAACAATTTCTTCTAATTTTACTAAAATTTTATTAATGTGAAATATTTTATCACTATACGCGGTATAATGTCCACGTTAATCATCGAAGCAGAATATCTACA